TTTTGGCGTTTCTTTTTTTGGTTTTGGGGTGGGTGGGTGGGAACACTCTAGAATGAGAAAGATTTCTTTCTCCTTTATTCATATGATGTTCCATCCATTGTTTTTGATTGATGAGTTAATAAAATTGAAACCGCAAATGATGGAAGCAGCAAAGTTCATAACTAGATAGACTTTAAACATTTTCTTTGGGACTTAGAGTGAAATGGACTCATCTAAATTCGTTCAGTGAAAAATACCACATATCTGTTTGCCATGTGTGATTGGTACTAGGTACTTTGACTTCATAGTCCGTGCTCTTGATCATAGGTTAGGTTTACATTTAGCTTGTGCTACCATTTTTGTTGTTCCTACTACTATAACAACAGGATGCTGGAGCATGTTTCCTAGTGTCGCATTGTCAAGGCAATAGTCTTGGACGGTGATTATTGTGATTAACACATTCTTATTTTCATGAAAGTGTCTTTATTTCTCTATACTTGCTGTTGAATCCCGTTTTCATGATTATCCTTCCCCGTGGCACTCTTTAGAGAAATTTGTAATGTCATACCTGGTCTCAAAGATGTTGTTTCTATACGCATTTCCAAACCAAAATAGCCTGCTTTTAGTGGATAACTATTTTTACTTCTCGTTTTTTTTCTTCTTTCTAGAGAGAAGTTGTTTCTTTGGCAAGATGGACCTTTCAAGTGTTTGTCGACTCATAGAATTCGATAGTTATTGCACATTTTTCCGCTTAGATGTTTGATAGTGGTTTTCATTTGATTTGGATATGAAAAAATACTCCTTTATATTTGTAGTGTTTTTGTGTGTCTGTTAATGTTGGACACTGAGTACCTTAATTCTAGTTGGTAATTCTTAGTGAAGCTTTTATATCATATATTAGCAGAAAAATTAAGCAACTAAGATAGGATTGGAGATTACATGAAGATCTTTTCTTCTTTTCTCCATTGATAGGTCATATGTTGCTTTAAGAAATGATAGATACCTAATATTGTCATAAAGGTCAATGCATTATAATGGTGCAAGTGTTTGGCTGTCATGTCTGATAGCTAGTAGATTATGAGTAGCATATTAGATTAATGAAGTAAGCCTTCTAAAACACAAATGGAAAACAACTATCTCAAGTGCTTAAATCCTCCTAGCATTATGGGTTGCAATGCCTCTATAATTATGGCGACAAAGACAATTTGACAAGAATCTGAAATAATCTTTCAATCCTACATCTTAAAAAGGAAATAATTGTAATTTTTTTGACTTCTTAAACTAAAATTTAGAGTTCGAATTCTCTTATAAAAGTCCTTAGAAACATAGCAGCAACCCAATAAAAACACAAAAGTTCTTCCAATCTAATTGGTTTCTGTCTGATTTTTCTGAAGACAGCTTCCAAGAAAGGCAAGACGAAACACCAGAGAGTTGAAGTGTTGGTCGAGTAACATCCAAAGGCAACCTTAACATAGACCAACTATCAAAATATTAAAAAAGAAGAAAAGAAAAAAAAGAAATATCTAAGTAGATTGTTCTCCTCGTAAAATATGGTTCACAGAAATTCTTCACATGCAATTTGCTTGTATGTTTATGGTGTGTGTGTGTCAAGCCATTTTGCAGTAGTTGAACAGTAATACACCATTTTCACATAGTAATGCCAATATCTCCATAGGAACACACGAAAAAATCAAACTGCCCCTTCAATTCAATGGCTTTCGTTTTCCACATCGTTGGGTCTGAGTTTCCATTGATGTAACATGGAGTATACTCAACCTTGTTTATGTATATATGGGGAACTAAGATTCCCCAAAAAGAATGTTCTTAAAAGAAGTAAATGAAGATTCAGAGGAAGAAAAAAACATCTAAAAGGATCTTACTTTTTGTTTCCTACTCTGAACTTGTGTTCTATTCAGCAGTAGTTCATCACCTTAAATCAGCTTTTAACAGTCTTTCTTTCTAATTGTTAAGTGAAGCATACAAAAATGGATGATATTCTCTCACATCCCTAATTAGCTTTCTCAGAAAAGGTCTTAGTGGCTGGGTAAAAGAATCGTCTTTGGAAATGATGTTGTCCCATTGTTGGGTGCTCCTTGTATATTAAGGATTGTCGTAATCAGGTTGTAAATCTGAACGTTCTCAAAAGATGGGACTTTACGGCCCCTGGCAAACTGAGGACCATGGGCAATGAAAATGCTCCTCATTGAGAAGAATGCATTGTCATACCCATGAGATCCACCACACTCTTTCCTTTTTGAGCTCTTCTGCTCGACCTTAAATGATTCATCAATCAATCCAATGATGGGTGGTATTCGGTCGCTAGCTGAATAATGAAGCCGGGCAGGCAGCTCCTCCTTCAGATACACTTTCAAATACTGACCGTTCTCAACCTTCCCTGACTTTAAGCCCTTGTTCATCTTGGTAACCACATCCTTGGCGGAGTAACTTGGTGGTGGACGAATGGAAAGCAATGGACTATATGACTGTATCCAATCCTTTGGGATTTCAATCCACTGAGCCAAATCCTCTAAAAAGATTAACTTTTTATCACAAGTACCAACCATACCATGATCGCCCACCATTATGATGTTCACATCCTCAAAAACCCCTCTTTCCTCTAAACCTCGGATCAACCTCCCAATCATCCCATCAACTCTTGTAATGGCTTCAGTAATTTGAGGATCATCTGGGCCAACCTTGTGACCCTGATGATCAGGGTCTCCAAAATAGAGCGTCATAAACGATGGAATTTCATCACTTGGCAAGTCAAAGTAGTTCAAAACTGTATCCACTCTTTCTTCAAATGGAACAGAACCATTATATATCACACATAGAGATTGAGGACAAGTCCAACCTCCTTTATTAACCTCAGAGCCAGGCCAGAAATAAGTAGCAGCTTTAAGACCATGATTGACCACAGTTTCCCAAAGCGGCTCACCGAGCCACCACTTGGGATCATAACTCTTCATACTAAAAGCTTCACCAGTATTGGGATCAAGAAAATAATTGTTAACAATACCATGATAAGCAGGGTACAATCCAGTAACAATAGCATAATGATTAGGAAAAGTCAAAGTTGGGAACACAGGTATTAAACCCAATTCCGCTTCTGTTCCATTCTTGATCAATCTATTGATATTAGGGGTAACTGTCTTGTACTGATACCCAAAGCGAAACCCATCTGAGGAAACCAAGAGAACAACTGGACGTTTTAGTTTTTTGAGTGGCCTAACTGATACATCATCAGAAATGGATAGAGAAGGATGTGAAGAGGAGGAGGAAAAGAAGAGGAAACCAAAGGCAAATGCTGCTGAGAGAGCTATACAAGTGACAAGAATTAGAACTGTGAAAATTAGTGTTGTCAAAGGGGGTTTAGGAGGAGTAGATGGAGAAGAAGAATCTGTGTCAAAAGAAAGCAAAGAAGTGGTGGAAATTGGTGGTTCTTCTTCTTCCTCCTCCTTTGTGGGTATTGCCATTGGCTTGTTGCTTGATGGTAGGAGGGAGATTGAATCAGAATTCATCATCCCACAAACAAAAAAAAAGGTACTATCTTTCAGCAAGAATTGAAAGGTGTAGTTGGACTGCAAAAGAGGAATCAGTTACCTACGATGGATGATGAGGAGGTTGTTCAACGAGTAAACGCAGTATCTGAAGTGCAAACTGTAGTCACTATACCTTGTTCTGGTGTGTGTATTCAACTAGTTGTTCATGTGTTGGTTCTTGTTGTGACAGATGAAAAATGGAGTGTGAACAAAGTGAAATGCAATGATGGATTAGTTGAAGGGCAGAATTACCAAAGTCAGATGCAGGACTTTCCTTCTGACTACACAAGATTAGTTTGGTAATTTGATCCTCTTAGATTAAGAAAAGCCATTTCTGCACACCTAATATATTACACAGTTGAAATAAGTAATCCAGTGCGAGAGGCCATAAAACAGGTTTAGAACCTGCACACAACCTGGTACGAATGCATTACACCACAACCAGTTAGATTCAAAAGAGTGAAATCCGCCGGCGATTTTCGGACTCCGGTCAAGAACCAAAATTTTCCTCTCCTTTGTTTCCGAACCAACTCTGATAGCATCATAATGGTTTTGTTTTTGATTTCTATAATTTGTGTTTCAAATTGAAAACAAAACTTTCAAAATCCTTTTTAATAATTTTCTTGGACAAGTTTAAATGTCTAAGTTACGTATTTTTCCTTGAGAAAAGGAAAGATACCTAAGTTTACGTTGATGTAAAGGTCAAAAGAATGAAAAAGCAGTAAGATTTGGAATAGGAAAAGGTCAATGCATTATAATGGTGCAACTGTATGGTTCTCATGTCTGGCAGCTGGTAGGTTAAGATTAAATTATTGTTGGAAAATATACAACTCTTCGCTTAGTGAAAATCAAGACTCCAGTAATTGTTGGAATTTAAAGAGTGAAAAGAGCTGACTTTCTTGAGGTTGTGTGGTGAAAGTTTTTCTTTTCTTTTACTAATGTAATTGTTGTTACAAAGTACAAAATCCTATCAGATATAGATTTTTTATGGTTCTAGACCTTATTGGGCTATTCAAACTATAGCTTACCACATGTGAAAAATTGTCAATTTATGGAGCTTCACCGACTTACTTTATCTATGGTAATTATTTTACATAAATTCTAGCTTGTTTATACCCGTTATCTGATTTTCATCATGTTGAGTTAAAAATCTACATACGACTTTATATAATGTACGTAAAACAAATTATTCTTTTGGTCATATTGGACTAACACAAGTTTAAATAACACAACATGAACAATTAATCAATGATGATTCATATAGTCGATACTGGTCGAGCGTGTGTTAGTTGTACGTCTAGTTGCTTGGGTTGTACCATCAAAAATGCTTTACACGTGAAATAAGAAGAAAACTATTTTTTCATTTATTTAAGGATACTGAATGTGATATATATTAACGAACTTGTCCTATTGTGAAATGTCCTAATCCAGCATAAGTAACTCTTTTTAGTTGTGCTCAAATGAACCCTTGTTGTTTAATGATGCACAATTGCCAAGCCCTTTATGAGATGAGCTTATGATATGGCATTTGGCTCCATCATCATATTACTATTAATTACTATTAACTTTATAATCCTACCCCATTCCCGTTTGCGGTTAAGCATATCTACTAATTCTTCCCTATACAATTTATTTGTTAATCATGACAAAAAAATTGAGAAATTTATCATTCACAAGCATTTATGCTATGAATAATTTGACTATAATCTATAAGTCGAGAGAGGGAAAACAAAGAAGATCATACGCAAACTTTTTCTTTTTCTAGCGACAAATTTCTAATTGGAGGACGCATGGACTATTACATTTTTTTAGAATAAACATTTAATCCTACATTTTAAAAAAGAAATTAATTGTAAATTACATGGTTTCTTAACAAAAATTTAGAGTTGGAACAGGCTTTCCCACAAGCTAGCGCACTAAACATAGACCAAACTAGTGCTGACAAAATGATTAAAAGAAAACAGTCATATTTTAATTAAAAAATAAGTTGAATAATAAACTTTTTAAATACATATCAAATATGGATAAGAACCATATTATCCGCTTGGATAATGGATAACTCAATGGACAACCAATTGATAACAAATAGAGTTTAACTTTTACATTTATAAAGCTACAAATTGGGGGTTTCTCAAGTTTGAAAGACTAGTAATTCTCGCAAAAGTAATCAGATTCAAGAAGCGAGATCCACCGGTTAACCCGTTTATTATCATTAAATATAGGTCAGGTTGGATAATTTATCCATTTTTTGTATTACCCGCTTTGACCCGCCCATATCCGACCCGACCCATCCTGCTGACACCCATTGACCAAACCATCAAATTAGGAAGAAGAAAAAAAAGAAAAAAAGAAAAAAAGAAAAAGAAGCAAATATCTAAGTAGATAGTTCTCGTCGTAAAATATGGTTCACACAAATTCTTCACATGCAATTTGCTTTTATGTTTATTCAGGGTTTGTGTGGTCAAGCCTTTTTGCAGTAGTTGAACAGTAATACGCCATTTTCACATAGTAATGCCAATATCTCCATTGGAACACACGAAAAATCAAAGATCAAATTGCCCCCTTCAATTCAATGGCCTTCATTTTCTCATTTTGATGTTACTTGGGTTTTACTCAATCTTGTGTGTGTATATATAAGGAACTAAGATTCCCCAAATACTTAAAAAAAGATTCAGAGGAAGAAATTTAAGAAACATATTAAAGATTCTTACTTTATTTGTGTTCTTCTATGGCTGATATAATGGGATTTTCTCTTAACTCTTTACGCTTCTGTTCTTCTTCTTCTTCTTCTTCTTCTTCTTCTTCTTCTGCTTCAAATTCTTCATTGTTCACCTCATTCTCTTCATCTTTGAATTCTATCCAAACATCAAATCAAAAGCTGCATAAAAGGGCTGTCTCCCTTTCTGATTCTCCTTCAACCTCTGTGGATTTCGTTTCCGGAATTTCTTTAAGGCCCAACAAGCGATTTCCTGCTCTTAAGGTAAAGATTCCTGCTTTTTACTGAGTTTTTTCTCTTTTTGACTGCCTAAGATTATTTCAATTTTTTAAGTGAGGATATTGTTTACGGTGGCCAGTATTTGTGCTTAGCTCACTTGAGGTTTGAGGTCTTTTATGCTTCAAATTTCTTTGCAAGTTGTGTTTTTAGCAGCTGAAGGGAGCATTTTAGGTATCCTGCTGTCCTTTTTGTTCTGTTTTAACACCAAAATTGAAATTAAGTGTCTTTGTTATGCTGATTTTAGTAACCACTAAATTAGTAGTCAAGATACATACGATTAATGGATAAGTTGGAAGGAAGACCATGAGAAACAAGGGGTCAGATTCCAGCAGAGAGGCAAAAAAGCTAGGTGATTTCTTCCTATTTGCTTAAATGTTAGTGAACAAAGTTACCCTGGATGGGAGGATGTAGGTACCATGTGGAATAGTTGAAGTGCATGCAAGTTGGACACTGCCATTATCCACCACATATGTTATTTAGCGCAATGTTCTGACGAAGACCTCATGTTTATCGGGTAATGAAAGGACATGGTTTTATTAAGTTGAAAATGTTCAGACTAGAGCAATCTACCGAATGCTAGTAAAACCAAAAAGTTGTAACACGGGCTGGCCACTAACTTTAGCGTAATAGCATCAACATTCATAGAGGATCAAATTTTTGAGTAACAGAACTGAATACCTTTGTGCTTAGGGCTTAGGATTTGGTGATAAGAATTGTCACGCGAGCTAGTCCTCGTTTCATAGGTTACTCCATAATTGTAACATCGACTCACTGCATTATCCATTGTCTCTTCTGATTGTGAGGAAGCTTCTGCTATGATAATCGCAACAGTTGCAGCCCATTAAAAGCCACATGCATAATTCTCTTTTGCCATTTCTTCTTCTATCCTTATCATCAATTCTGTTTTTTTTTTCGGTTGACAAAAGTTAAGTTAAATTCTGGATTCTTCGAAGATCTCGAGGATAAAGTTCTCTGCTTGCGAGGTTTGAAGTGTTCTTCCCCAGATAAGCTCAGCCTAGAATGACTGTTGGAAATTGACCTCTAGTAAATTAGCTTAGGTTGAAGTCTCTAGACTCTACTGCATCTGTTGTCAAACTAGTGAAAACGGGAAACTGAAAAGGTTAGGTTGGGAGAAGAGTTCCTATTTCAAGGATCAAACTCATTCATAGGTGTTTCTGGTTGTTCAAACATTGGTCTGTATAGATAATAGGCATGGAAGTCATGCACTTACCAACCATGGCATGCTGTCTATGACCCTTTGTAGTATTTATGAGCGTTGTATTTTGAAACTTCCAAACTGTTCAAACTTTACTGGTTTACGTCTGGGCTTCCTTGTGCCCAAACTCCCAATGGAGACCTTGGCTCAATGTAGCAGCCTTAGATGCCAAAGCCAATATGCGTCCTCACTTGATACAAAGTTGGTTTCTGGACCATGTGGTGCAGTGATGGTGCAGTTTTACTGATGCTTGCTTTCATATGTCTAATCCTTCTGCATTTGACTATGCCGTCCAATTTTCCCATTATGATCTTTGAATAGGTCTTTGGTTTTCAAATTTAACTGGTGGGAAAGAGGGGACAGTTAACACCTCCTCTAAGGTTACTATTCAGGTTCTCGATTCTGTTACAACAAGCTTGTTTATTTGCTCCCATCTTAAAAAGATTAAAGATTAACTCATTTCGAACAGTTACAAACTTTAATAACCACAAATTTAGTTTCATAATGCGACGCATTTTATTATTATAGTAATTCTGATATACCGTGTTTCTATTCTCTTTTGAGAGTTCAGCTAGAATTTTAGTTGCCAAATTTGGTTTGTTACTCATCCCTTCTAAATTTGACCATCTAAGCTTGGTGGAGAGGTTTGAGCAGGAATTGGTTTTTATTTTTATATTTTATGAACAAGTAAATGCATTTATCTGCATGTGGACTTCTTTACTGTGTACATGTAAATCCCTAAAAGTCTTCTTTACACATTTTGTGTCTTTTGTTCAATGCTTCTTAGGTACATGCTACCGTTACTCGAACAGAGGAACCAAAATGGTGGGAGCGAAATGCAGGGCCTAACATGGTTGACATTCATTCGACACAAGAATTCCTTGATGCTCTTAGTCAGGCTGGAGAAAGACTTGTTATTGTAGAATTCTATGGAACATGGTGTGCTTCCTGCAAAGCACTATTTCCAAAGGTGAGCACTTCTTGCTGCACCCATTATGAAAGCCTATAATTTTACATCCATGCTATTATTTCTTAATGTAAAAGAGCAAGTTTCAAGAAGATAGTTCATCTTTCAGCAACTTCTAAATATCTTATTTTGGTAACTGTCTACTCATATGAAGTGGGATCATTATAATCTGCTCTATACATCCATTTAGAATATAATTCCATGGCATTGACATGGTTGTGATGCTTCCTGGTTAGAGGGGCAGAAGAACATTTTCCTTATAACAAGTTTTTTTCTCTTGTGGATCTTTTTGTTGGGTCTTGTTATGGGAAATGGTAAGGTTTGTATTCGATGTAGCATAAAGATGTTCTAGTAGATTCTGTACAATAATCCAATTGCTGAAAGTGGGAAAAAAAACAAGGGTATATCCATTTCTAAACATGTGGGCACTCGAACAAGTCTAAAACTGATTCATCTTCACGTACAAGATCCATTCTGCATCGAAACTAAAACAAAAGAAATGCAGTGTGCCTTCAGCTTTTGAATAGAGTTGTATTTCTCTTGTGGATTTTGTGCCAAAACTTGGTTGTTTACTGCAAACTTTTGGGGAAAACTACAGTTTGTAATCATTTACATCTCAAGGTTATTGATCATAATGTCCAACTAAAACTGGCACTGTTTGCTTATTGTCCTGCATAACAGGTTAGGTTTTCTTCACCCACTTTCTCTCTTATATGTGTTCTCAAAGGATCTCAAATTGAAGTCTACAACAGATCTTAGTGCTCCTAAAGGAAAACACCATTTCATCATGTCTCTGATCATTTGTACTGAGAACTTGCTACTTCTAAACCTAGCAGACAGAATATCGGAAGGAAGCCAAACATTTCTTGTCTCTGAAATTGATTCATGATACTAATCAAATAATGGATTGCGCAAAAGCATAATAAATTTGAAACATCATCCTGCTTCTTGAATTTTACTGGTGGTCCATTTCCTTAATGTGGTTTTGTTGAGCTACAAGAACAGGATAATGACTTTTGAATAAGCTTATTTGAAAGTATTTTAATTGATCTCCTCACCCGAAGTCTTTTGCATTGCATATATGGTTTCCTTTGCTATATGCTTTCCATGATTACTTGAGTTGAACAATGGTTTGAATTTTCCATTAGCCACTTTAAGAAGATATCTGGTCTTTAAGGTTGCTTTCTCTGCTATTCTCTAGAATTTGATTTTGCATTTTTCACTTGGCAGCTCTGCAGAATTGCCCAGGAGAACCCCGAAATCATGTTTCTGAAAGTGAATTTTGATGCAAATAAGCCAATGTGCAAGGCTTTGAATGTAAAAGTCCTTCCATATTTCCATTTCTATCGCGGAGCTGATGGACAACTAGAGTCCTTCTCTTGCTCACTGGCCAAAGTAATACATCTGATTTTTTTTTTCTTTTTTCCATTTGGACTTTATTAGCTACCATTTACTACTTTCATTCCAGATGAATAACCTTTTCGGCGGTAATAATTTATGCAGTTTCAGAAGATAAAAGATGCAATACAATTACATAACACAGCCCGTTGCAGTATTGGCCCGCCAATAGGAGTGGGAGATCTCACACTTGAACTCCTTTCTGGGACCAAGTGATATACCTGCCGCAGCTTCTTCTGAACTGCTTACTTGTTTCATCTCTGTATCAATAGCTTGCACTCGAATAGCCACATAATCTATCTGTATCTGTTGAAACTCTATAGTCATTTTTCATTTTTTGGTTGCTACATTTTGCGCCATTCTAGGTAATGTAGTAATATACTCCATTCTTTGAGACGATTGTGGTAGTAATACTTGCAGCATATATAGATGGAATTTTGTTCATTAATTATGTGGAAAAAGTTAGTCGAAAACACTACTTCCTGTTACTTCTCAATATGTGTTCATGGTATAATGATTACTGGTACCATTAATTCGTTGGATTTATCATAAAGGCAGTCTGCAGATAGCTTGATGGTTGTTTATACTATATCAAAACAAGTCAAACTTGTATCAATGCCTAACTAATTTTTACACAATGTTCAATTGATTGAATTTGCGGAACTTTCTATGGTAGAACACAAGGGTACATATTATAGGATTGTCTTTTATTCACAAGTCCCTTAAATAATAAAAGGAATGTGCAAGATTTGTTCATTCACTATTAAATACTCCATAAGTTTACGGGTTCTATAAATCATGCCGCACATAAGTAGAGGAAAAAAATAATCGGTCTGTAGAAACTATCTAAGTCTGTATTCAGAGTTTTTCTGGGGTTGGTATATACCTCTAAAATGTAATATTTTACCTATATACATAGTACAATTTTTCGACGAAAGGTGGTCAGTTGACCACCCTTATCACTATGTGGCTTCGCCACTGAAGGTTACCCTAACCTATTGAGTGCTCTGCCTCAGGCCATCGACTAATACTTCACGAAATAAAAACAGGAAGAAGAAATAGAAATATAATATGAAAAAAAGAACACAAAGAAAAGAAAAACACGGCCCCTAGAGAGAAACAAGGAAATTATCCGAGAGAGACTGCAACTTCCCTCAATTGCCAATCGTCCTTCCAAATTCCTCTCTCTCCCCCCCCCCCC